ACTGTTTATTTAACCTTTTAATCTCAAACCAGTTCTTGCAAACCAAGTAATAGTGATATATTTTATTTTGAAAAGAAAAATGTAGCTTATTTTATTTAGATTCATGTTTTTGATTTTGTTACTCATGAGGTGATGGCTTCTCCTCAGCCTGCAGATTATTGTTTAATATTTAAACAGCACACTTCTGATGAAATGCTGTAATAATTTATTGATTGATTGCTTATAAGTGTTTATCAGTAATCTATACTGTATGTTGTAATGACAGTGTATGTTTTATTTATTTTTAAAAGCATATATGTTTTTCTTTTTTAATGTGTTGGAAATTGTGTTTATATTGTCTTTTAATGGGCATGCCAAACTCTCCCTGTTTTGGTGATGAAACTAGTGTGAGTTTAATGCGAGCTTCTCTAAACTGGTCAACATATCTGGTTTAATTTGTTCACTGACTTTTCCTAACTTAATGATACAACAAAATTATTGCTGTATATTTGGACCCTAAATTCAAACAAGGTGACACTGGGCAAGACACATTGTATTACTAATTTATTATGAAATTTTTACAATGAATGTTTAAAATGTAGGAAAAAGGCCCGAGTTTACCAAATATTCCCTGCTGATCGTAAAAAGAGGGCATTTCTATTGCTCCCTCTCACTGTGTGTCTCTCGGGCACAGTAATAAACTGCTGTGTCCTGAGTCTTCAAGCTGTCCATCTGCAGATAGAGTTTACTGCTGGAATCATTTCTGGAGATGGTGAATCTACCCTGGACTGACTGGGAGTAATATGTAGAATACCTAAAACTTGAAGTGTGTATGAAAGCAATCCACTCCGGTCCTTTTCCAGTAGCCTGTTTGACCCAAACCATACAGGAGCTTCTGAATGTGAATTCAGAGGCTGTGCAGGTCAATCTGTGAGATTCTCCAGGTCTTTTAATTAGGTCTGGTTCAGATTGTGTCAGAGTCTGACCATCAACACCTGGTAAAATATTTTTTAAAAAATCACCTAAATTGTGTCACAAACAGAAACAATGCATATAAATACTGAGATCAGTGAAAATCTTCACCTGCCCAGCAGAGAGCTAGAAGCAGCAGTCCTGTCCTGTAGTCCAACATGTTGTTTTTTGTTCTCTACCATCCTCTGTGCTCATTTAAAAAGAGAGAAATGTCTAAGTTTTGCATAGACTCTTCCTAACAGGAAAAACTGACAACAACGAACTCACTTTGCTTTCGCTTGGTGAGAACCTAAAATTGTTACACTGCATTTAACAAAATTGTTTGTTTCTGCAGTGCAGTAAAACAAATGTCATCTTACTATGTTTTGTAGTAAATTTGCTCTCATAGGTAAGATGGAGTTGGGACCTTTCTTTGTTAGCTAAAATCATGCCATCATACGGCCTTAACAGTAAACAAAAATATTTTGAGTCGTACAAAATGATTCTTTTTTTCCCGCTGCTTAGTTCAGCTGGACAAAGCAAATGGTTGATGAGTCTGGTTCTGTCTGTAAGTCTCGTTTTCTTAAAATGGAGTTCTTCCTCCTTACCTGCAACAAGTGGTTACTCAGAGAGAATAAAAGAGTCTCTCACTCTTTCCTTACATTATTTACCTTAAATTAAAGGGCACCTTAAAATGACTGCTTCATTGAACCGGCTCTGCACAAACTGGTAATTGGCCTTTAAAAAACAAAAACCTGAGCTGACATGAAATGAGACCGGCATTCAGCACCATTTAGTGAAGACACTCAAAACATTTATTTGACTTCCTTGAAATGATATTTATGTATGTTTTGTCTCTGTGTTTATCAATTGTTTGTAACTTTGCTGTTGATTTTTTTTTTTCCCTGTAGGTAGGTCATGCCACTGCGATAACCACACTGACATGTTGCTTTCAACTGCAAACAGCAAGGTAATGTGAGTAATTTATGTGTTTTAGGGTTGGTGGACAATGTTTAACTGTTTCACTGCTTTTAAGGTTTAAGTAAAGCAGGAGAAACTAAACATAAAGACACACTTCTTCCTTGGGATTGATCAAAATAATAAAAATATGTGGAGCAGGATTTTGTACAGCTGCTCAGCCAGCATCAGACACTGTGGCTTTGTCTGTGTCGAGCACAATAATAAACAGCAGAATCTTCAGTCTTCAGAGTGTTCATGTCCAGATACACCTGCTGTCTGTTGTTGTCTCTGGAGATGGTGAACCGGCCTTGAACTGACTGTGCGTAGTATTTGCTAGTAACATCGATAGTGGCAACCCACTCTAGTCCTTTTCCAGGAGCCTGTCTGACCCAGGCCATCCAATAGCTGCTGAATGTGAATCCAGAGCCTGTACAGGTCAGTCTGTGGGATTCTCCTGGTCTTTTAACCACGGGTTCAGATTCTGTCAGAGTCTGACCATCAACACCTGTCAGAACAAGACAACAGTTACATGTTGTAAATTGTTTATCCTTGAAAGACAAATTTGATTCAACGTCAGTGAAAGGTCTCACCTGCCCATAAAGCAATAAAAAGAAGCATTCCTGTTTTTATGGCCATCATGTTAAACTGTGTGAGCAGTTGTCTCTGTCAACCCCTGTGCAGCTAAAGTAGGTTTAAGACATCCAGGTTTTGCATTGACTCCTCCTCACAGTTTTTTAAGCCATGCTCTTGTTCTACAAACACAACAGCTTTACTAGGTTACAGGTACCAGCTACAAATGGTTTATTTTTTAATGCAGGTGCTCACTGTAAACATTTCATTATTGTATGCTATTATTGCTCTTTATAATTGAGATTAATTACTATAATAACACTCAGATAAAATTGCATTTCCATTTTCCTCTGTAAAATTTAAAAAAGAAATATTAATCACAATACAGACAGTAAGAAAAGCTTAGTATTAAAATGATGGTCTTTCGCATTTTTTGCATAGTTTTCAGGTTCAAACACATGCGTGAGTGTGAACATACTGTATGTTGTGTCTCACAGACCTGTTTATATTGCAGTGTGTGTGTGTATGTTGTCAATTGGTCCTTGCAATCAGTGCTTTGTCAGTAAAGGGCTTTTGTATCTTTCAACAAAACATTAATATTAATTAATATTAAAAAATGAATATTAATACTTTGAATTCAAATTACAAAATCAAGTATTTGAGGACTGCCTGTGCCCATATACCCAATCCACTCCACAGCTCTTCCTGGTTTCTGTCATATTCAGCCAATATTGGAACTCACTGGACTATTGCCAGATAGGATACATGGTTCTCCTGCTAGGTCTTTTTGTCCTCACAGAATAGCATATCTGCTGAATGTGAATCCAGAGGCTGTGCAGTTCTGTGTTCATGCCCACATCTCTTTTTTTAACAGTTGAATTATGAGACATTTTTTCTTTTGTTTGCTCTCTTTCTGAGCATTGGAATGAGTAAAAGACACAATGAAGAGATTTTTATTTATTTATTTTTTGGGTGTTTGTTTGTTTGTTTGTTTTGTCTCCTGCTACTTCACAACCAGATTGTTATGTCGCTGCAAATATACAAACTGTTAATGTGTTAACTGATTTGTTTTATTTTTATTGTTTTTGGGAAAGTCCACTGTGAGTTTTCACTTCTGTTCTGAACTGAGAAAGTATAGTATTTGCTAGTAATTTACTCAATTTCAGTCCTTGTCTTTTCCTAGTCTAACCTGTCTACATATTAACATCTGTTAATTAAGAAAAAAATAGTGCTGTCAATAGATCAAAAAAAAAAAACCTAATTCTGATTCTGTAATTAATCGTGATTAATCGCAATTACTTAATCAATAGCCTGGTTTCAATTACATTTTTCCACTTTATGTTTAAGCTTCTAACTGATTATATGCAATATAATGAAGTAAATGTAGAATAAACACAAAGAATGTATGCTTAAATTCAAAGAGAATTTGATAGTTTTCATTCAATCTTACAGCACAGGTTCTCTCCTGTGAAATACAACTTTCAAAAAACTTATATAAAGTCCTCAGTCTTCAGTCTTCATGTTGTTCATCTGCAGATAGAGTTTACTGCTGGAGTCATCTCTGGAGATGGTGAATCTATCCTGGACTGACTGGGGATAAGAGGTAGCATAACTATAAGTTGAAGTGCTGATATAAGCAATCCACTCCGGTCCTTTTCCAGGAGCCTGTCTAAACCAAACCATCCAGTAGTCTCTGAATGTGAATCCAGAGCCTGTGCAGGTCAATCTGTGAGATTCTACAGGTCTTTTAACCACTGGTTCAGATTGTGTCAGAGTCTGACCATTAACACCTGGTAAGACAAATAAATAAATAAATAATGAATTATTCTCCAAAAATAAGAGAATGTTACATCAGGGGAAATCCTCACCCGCCCACCAAATAACTGAAAGGAGCAGTCTTGTCTTGTAATCCATGATACAGTACTACAAAGTGAGTTGTCTGTTATCTTTTCCAACAGATGGATAAGTAGTGGTGGAAGATGTTTGTTTTGCATAGACTCCGCCTTACTTAAGTGAGGAGTTTTCACAATTTTTCAAGTGATTACTTTGGCAAAAAGGTTAACCTCATCTCTGAAACTCACTCCAAATAAGCTTGTTCAACACTATGTTGTTCAACCATCAATAACACACTGACCTAAAAACATCTGGAAGTGAAGTTGGGTATAAAGTAATGTAAGTTTATCTTTGTGGTTTGAATAATGTTTCGGTATAGCAGTTCTGCTGTTGAAAGGATGATTGTTTAACTTGCAATCACCCCACTGGCTTAGTGAAATAACTGCAAGAAGAAGGATAACAATGAGTGCAACAGAAAATGAAAGACATGGATAGTAGCTGATGCATCTTATTGTAAAGATGCTTGCAAAATATTTTTGTTTTTTAGATGAGACAACAAGGCACAGCTGTCATCAAACAAGAATTAAGGCAAGCAAATGATTGCTTTTACTCAGGCACTATTTCAGGTAACATCACAACAAATGAAATTAATGCAGTAACAAGCTAATCTGGAGGGTTGCGGTTGGATGTGAGAATGACTGTTTATCCATAGCAGAAAGGAAAGGATTGTAGTAACTATTAGATTTGTATGACTGGACAATGTGACTTCAATTTTTTTTTTATTTTGGTATTTAATTTGAGAAAAGTATGTGCCATCCAACAGATAACATCACAGTCTAACTGCAACATACTATAGTAAATATGAACCGAAGATAATGACATACTGACTCTCTTTTTGAAATGCTGCATTTGGATCTTTTGAAAATTATTTGTTCTTTGTTCATAAAAATGTACTCTACCTGAGCAAATGTGTTACAGGTTTTTGCATGCAAATTATTTGTTGCTTTCTCTGATATTTATGTTGAATCTCTGAAGGGGCAGCAGCCTAAGCAGGGAAACCCGAACCTCCCTCTCCCTAGACACCTCCTCCAGTTTTTCCAAGGCCTGGTGAGAGACATAATCTCTGTCAGATAAAACTGAAAGCAGATTCCCTGCTTTATACACAGCTTATAATTTCATTCAAAAATATTTTGTGGATATTCAGTGTTTACTTATACTGTGAACAAGATACTTCCCCTACGTGTGTGTATTAATAATAATTTATGTTGAAAATACACATCTATGGAGCATCCATTCATTTGGTTAAAATATGAAACAGAATGATAACACTTTATTAATGATTTTTTTATTTCCATTTCTTCATTAAATAATTATGCATTTACAAAATTATGAGTCACATAAATATAAATGTAAATATTGTTGGAGTGAGGAGACTCTTTAAAATCATTAGTAGTCAGGGAGCTCCTCCCCTGCCAAAAGAATAAGAAACCTGACAGTTAATGGTCAGGTGTTCCCCTGGCTGCATAATCATGGGTGGGGCTATGTGTGAATATTGAAATTTTAATCCTGTGAATTGAAAAGTATATTTCATAATAAATTATAAATTATATAAGATTCTGTGTTGATCTAACTAGACTCATATAAAGGCTGTTTTCATTTTTTCACCTGAAGTGATTCACTTTATTTCAGATACAAAAGTCTGTTTCTGCAGAAGGTTTTAACTGCAATATTTATTCATACATTGTTTTACTTTCTTATTTCTTTTTTGTGATATCAAATGCAAATGCAAATACACTTTACTTTAGCTTTATCTAAACAAAATTAGGAGATTTTTGTTAACAAACATGTTTGTTGTTCTCTCTGTTTGCAGATGTCAGACACAGAAAAACATGTAGCGCTCCTCAGAAAATTCAACACATTCCCTTCTTGTTAAGTAAAACCAAACAAGTAAGTGTCCACAGCTAAGTGTAGATTTAGCAAAGCATTTTACTTAAAGTGATAAGATAAGAGACATCATCTGCAGCTGTTTTGTATTGATCTTTGTTTGAGCCCTGTTTAAGGCCATTAGTGGTCTGATGACTCCTTCTCTGGTTGATTTACATGTGTTCAGGCGATGTGAGGTTTTTGTTCATGTTGTCGAGATAGGTGGAACAGAGAGATTGAAGTCCCCCTGGCTTCTCTCCCTAAATCTGAGAGAGCCATATTTACTAATAGTAAATCATCTTTATTTATTTAATTAAAGAGATAAATAAAAGTATAAGTGATTAATATGTTGAAGGAGAAATGAGTCTGAGAGTAGGAAAAAACACTGCCCAAAAGAAAACCACTGGATGCCCTCTGACTCAACTCCAAGTCCATCGGATTACTTTCAAGCAATTAGGTATAAGTTCAACCAATCTAACAAATATACAACAGCCTATATAACTAATAGTTCTTTCCATGCATGCTGTCTGATCCAGGCTATGTGAAATCTGCCAAAAAATAAGAGACTTGACAGGTGATGACAACATGTTGTCACGAGAAGATTGGTAACTCGAGTATTGAGTTTGGATAGATTCTATTATTCTGTCTGGAAAAGGGATCACGTACCTGGAAATCACATCAGCTTCATTATTGTCATCATTCACCCAACTGTATTCTTTTTCAAAAGGCAGCATTTACAATAACTGAACGACTGAATTTACTCTGTTCTTGCTCGAAACTAATAATGTCAAAATTAAAAGATTTATTTTTAAAACAATTGATATTTTCTTGTGCATTAACAAATAATATAAATCCTAATGCAATATGTTTATTAAAAGATAAACAATTCAATGGGCCTCCATATAGACTAAGGTTATTGTGTACATTTATTTTAATGTTTTTACTGGAGATAATAAACTCACTATATGCTCTCCTTTAATGCAGTCATGATAAAAAATTCAAAAATCAAAACAACATACTGGAAAAATTATTATTTTTTGCTTGGGATACTTTTAAATGTATTTGTGCAGGTGTATTGCTAACATACAAGATTGTGTAGTATGTCAACTTTGTTTTGTCGTTTTTGGTTTGCATAAAGTACCCTTGATGTTTTCAGTTTCTGCAGATGTGTGAGAACGAAGATCTAACGTGATACTATAGGGAAATAACTTCTGAGGAACTGAAACTGTGTGTGAAAGCACGGTAGCCTTATGAGCTAATGAATATGCATGTGACCAGAGACAAATAAATATGTAATATTATTTATTTATTTGTTTATTTTTTTATGTTTGACTTACTGTAAGAAGCAACTGATGGTGAATTCAAAGCTGTACAGTTCAATGCATGCAGCCCTCCAGTCATGTAACCACTGATTCATAAACGGATTATATAAAGTATATAAATAACATTTCATTGATTTGAACTGTTGTCCAGTTTGGTGAGCCTGTGTCCTGTGTGTAGCCTCAGCTTCCTGTTCTTAGCTGGAGTGGCACTTGGTGTGGTCTTCTACTATTACACATCTGCTTACAGGTTGATATCTTGTTCCTTCAGAGATGCTGTGATGAGTGATTACAACCAAAGTATGTTGCACTTCTATCAGCTCCATTTGGTGATGGGCTCTAACATCCAGCATCATCAAGGTATTTTTCCCTAGAGAACTGTCACTCAATGGATAGTATCAATTTATCAGATGTGTCCTAGAAATGGCTGCTTGCTCCTTTGCTTGTGTTTTTGCTCACTGTGTGTTTCCCTTTGTACAGACCTTCCCTGGAATCCCTTACTGGAGTGTGGTTTTGGATGCCTGTTCTCGCTGACCCCTGGAGCCAATCCCCGCCTGCACTTTGCATGTAGCACATAGTTGGTGATCACTTTAAACACATTGTGCGTTTATTCTGTCCTGCTCTTGAGTCCACTTCAGTTTTTGTGACAAAATCA